CCTCTGTCGTTGCCAGTCTTTCCGTATATTTCTGCTTGTCGACTTTAATATCCTTCTTTACTTGCCTGTTTGTTTCTGTGTATTCAGATTGTGGCTTCACTTCCTCTGTTATTGTTGTTGTTCAACTGTTGTTAATTGCTATCTTTTTTTCTTTCTTGAATCTTTTCAAGGGTTTCAAGAGAGATCCATTCCATATTAGGATGCTTCTTGCTGCCCAGCACCTCTTGATATATTGAAGTTATTGCCTCTTTGATCTCTTTCCAGTTATCTTCCATCGAGTTTTCATCTTTCAGTATATCCTGTGAGGCTTGGAACCTGTTGTTGAGAGTTATCTCGAATATGTTGAGTTTGTCAGTATCTCGAAGCAAAGCTCTATCAAATTATTATGATGCTGTTTGTCCAGTTGTCCAATGCTTCTTTAGCTTCAGTTTCATCTTGGCCACAGCCAAATGATGATCTGAAGCTATGTCAGATCCTCTAATGGTTCTAACGTCTTCCATTGTCCTTCGGAATTTTTGTTGATACAAATATGATCTATCTGGTTCTCTTTGGTGTAGTCCGGTGAGATCCATGTAGCTTTGTGTATGCGTTTGTGTAGGAATATTGTACCACCTGTAACCAATTTGAATGCTTATAGGTTTGCAAATCTCTCACCACTTTCGTTTCTTTCTCCCACTTCATGTCCTTCCATAATATCCTTATATCCTGTGTTGTCCATTCCAACTTTGGCGTTTAGATCTCCCATCAGGATGGTGAGGTCCCTTCCTAAGCACTTAGCTATGATCGACTGCCGCCTGGAGTAAAACTGATCTTAATCGTCGTCGTTGCTATCATTGATGGGTTCATAACATTGGATAACATTCATTGTGACCCCCTCTTCTTTGTTTTGAATGATACCTTGATGATTATGGATCCATGAGATTCTAATCCAATAAGTGAATTACGTGCTTCTCTGGACAGCATTAGAGCAACTCCCTGTGTGTGGAGCATTTTTCTCTTCGTGACCAGAGTACAGCAGCATCTCTCCACATTTCTAACCTTTTCAAATGGTTCAAATGGTTGGGGACGGAATAGAAGAAGCTTTCGCTTAACGGGCTTCCGTGTCTGGTAGCAGTGGATCACCAATACCTCCAGGCAAGAACCTAGGTCATGCAACAAATCACAAGAGTAAAACCGTGACGGTTTGGGTCGAATGGGTTTCACTGATTCCGATTACTGCCAAGTTGTATCTCCTCATTTTCGCTGCTACTTGACTGGTCTTCCCGGACTCCTACATTGGCCGGATATTCCATGTACCTATGTTAATTGTTGCTCCGGTTGTTAGAAGGGGCATCGGGCTGGTGAATGTCAAAAATATCGAATTTCATCCCGAGGCGTCCTAGTTATTCCTTGAATTCAAAGGGCAGAATTTAAATGGTTTGAGTTATTGTTTCTAGTTAGCGTTTTTTAGATGGTTGGTTTTCTACGGGATGGGGTCGTTAACCCCATGCCCAACCCTTCTCCTTTGTTTAGGCTTGGGATCGGCGGCAATCCTAGAAGAGCTACAGGCGGAGTTGAATCTTTGAACAAAAATTACGAGGCTCTCTTGAAAACGCTTTAGGATAATAGGAGGCGTCCATTGCTACTAACTACAGTCAGGCGCTATTGGTAGGTCCAGCGAGTTATCTGTCTGCTTCAAGTAAATTTAAGGAGAGGCATGTACTTAAAGAGATATATCTAATACAAATGCATAAGGGAAAAGCAAAAAAAGGAGATTTAACTTAGAGTCTTATATGGTTAGGACATGTAGAGGGCCTATGATGTCTGAGTGGGACGCAGATGTATTCGAACTTGCTAGATCAGTGAAAGAGAGGGCATCATCAAAAATTCTTAAAAAAGTAGTTACTTAATCTGCCATGCATACTTTGGAGGAAAACTATTCTATATTTATGGGAAAGAGGTTTTCCCGAGTTTTTGATCTGTATTTTTCAACATTGACGGTATATATATATATATATATATATATATATAATTGTAAGGTCTGCACTTTAAGCTGTCTAAGCAGTGAATTTGTGCGCAACCTGTTTATGAACATTTACACCTCACAGTATTTCATTGTTTTTATTTCGAATATTATTCATCCGGTTCTCTATATTGATGGGCATCATGTTCAAATTTCGACCCATTTTTGGACTACTGTTATTACTTTATCGCAATTTTGGTTGTCGATGGTTTTTTTGAATATTTCATTCCTTGTAGAATATACTGGTTTTATTTTGTTTCGCTCAGTATGTTGGTGATTATCATAGTGCGTGATCGTATACTTGATAATTACCACTTGCATTAGTTGATTTAAACTATCCCTAAAGGAATAGAAACTCCTCTTCCTGTTTTTCGAAAACATTTGCTATTTTTTTGAGGTCTAGTTGTATGGATTTTCCTTTGTGGGTGGACCAACATTCATTTCTCAACAGCCTCACTTTCCCCTAATTGAGAGCTTGATCGTACCAGTCAGTTGTTTAACATATAAAGTGTCCTTTGGAGAAATACTTATTCAGAATGGTCTCTGTATACTCTTGTGAGCTGTTATACTTATTTATTGAGGAATAACTTTTAAGATATTTTTGAATTTGGAGGCGTATAAAAGAGGAATCCAGTGGCATAGGGCAACTAAAATTCCATAATTCTGGATATAATCCCATCTGGAATAATTTATATCAGCTCTCATTTGACATGTATATAGTATCTTCCAGCATCCCTTAAGATCCCAGATTTCTTAGGACAGTTTGACATCCAAGTTACGTAACTTGATGTCCAAAAATTGTTCCTTTTGTTTAGAATTTTTGAGATCGCAATTAGTGCCGGAAGAAGTTGTGAATGCAGTTTGGCAGTAATGTAGTTTTTCGGTCATAAGCTTACAATTCATTGTACATATTCGTTAGAAAATTTTCATCATTGATAACATTCGTCATTGTTTTGTTGGACTGAGATATGCTTGTCTGACAGTGACTCCACTGTGGCCGTGCAAGGCTGTAGTGTGTGATAGTGTCGAAGGAGTATAAGTCAGTAGTAAATTCCTCATTATTATTTCACTGTAATAGACTTTTCAATGGCTCAGAATATTGGTAAAAGTGCTTACTATTTAGTCATTGAATAGGCCTGGTTAGCGTTTTTTAGCGAGTCGAATGCTCCATTGGGAGTAATAGGCGTAAGTAAGTAGGTATTGAATAGGTCATTACTATCGGTTGTTTCTAAGTTGTCATGGGATAATAAATTGCCACTACTTGCTTTGCCATTCGTCGTTATTTAGCAAAATGATCGGTTGGCACTTCATTTTTTAGTGGTCAAAGATTTGATCAACTACATCGAACTCATGGACTTGGTGACAGTTTCACTTCAGTTTCGTTCCGAAACTGTAATTCACATAAACCCGCGTTTCAGCCCTGTCACATTGGGTTCTTAACTTGTAGAATGAATCGTACAGTAAATTTATTTTGGATTTATGATTTTTTTTTAAAATTTATCATCTTTTGGAAGTAAAATAGTACCGAGGAGCAGCGTTTTGTATAAAAAATATTAGGTGCGGAGAAATGAAAACGTACTAGTTTTCAAGTATCCTTCAATGACAAACAAACAAGTAGGTTGTCGTGACTACAAGTAAGAGAGTGTCTGGTTGTAGAAAGAGTTAGAGTCACACTATTTTCATGCTATCTAGAGGGAAAGGGTGTTACTCTCAGTCATGCTGTGGCCTGATGGCCATTCCTGACTGAGCTGCTTTGCATAAGAGTGTCTATTAAAAATTGAATGATTGGGACTAATTACAAGATTTGACAAAACCACTTGTTTTACGGGGTTATTCACCAGCCTATCTTATCTAAAGGAGGAAAGTCTAGGACACAGAAGTCTTGATCATATCCTTTACATTTCGATATGCAGAAATATTCCACTTTTAATTCATGTAAACAAAACCCATCAACTAACATCCGACAAAACTTGGCAGGGAATCCTTCAACCAGGAGCACATTTTGGGATTTCGGAAGGATATGAATTAACTACAGAGTTGCGGAGATAACAACCCACTGAATTTATATTATAAACGGTAAAGCTGTTCATTTACACCATTGTGTCGATGATATAATCGTCGCAGTTCTTTTTGTAAAACGTCAAATGTGTTTGGGTTCCTTACAATCCCAATTCATTTTCTTACTATGACGAATATCTCTTTCCAATCCATCAGTTTTAGTGTCACTGAGACACACTGTAGCTCACTACGTTGATGGAAGTTTAGACTAGAATTTAGGCAGGTTTTCTTATAATGTGTAAGTAAACGGTATTCTCCTCTATTTCAGAACGAAAGATCAACTGTAACGTCGGAATCTCCAGCATAAATCGCTTATTGGGGTGACTATTCAAGTTGAACGGGAACAGCATGACTTCAAAGCTCACTTTTAAGTTTAACCTCATGGTTATCGCCGTAGGTGGATTAACCTTTAGTCATATCTAGGTACTGTGGCTTCTTTGATGGCTGTATAGCGTGAACGATGTTATAATAAAAAATGTATTAGTAAGAACAGGTGCAAGGAACAGTGAGATCACTGCCTCATGTGCCTATCCATGTTGTGCAACTGATTGATTCATGTTCTTTGTCCTTGACGTTTATGGTGTACGATAAACTGTCTTGTGGCTTGTGAGTGACCTAACTGACAGGTTGGTTGGCGGAGCCCGTCAAAATTTCACTTTCCCTACAGTAGGAAATATAAGTGCGGATGAACACTTTATACCTTAGAGAAATCGATCAACAAATCTTTTTACTGTCTGAAGTGTTCAAAGCGAATTCATTCGTGAGGTAAAATTGTAGCCCGACTAAGAACTAAGAATAACATCTTAGATCAATATAATACAAATATTTTTTCCGCTTGTTCTATATAAATTGATATTTGGCTGATTCATTGATATCAAATACAAAATTCCGGTAATCTGAAGCTCATATTATTTTATCTATAACCATTTCGCCGCTTAAACTAAATCCAACATAGTTATTGTTTTAATGCGGCATATTAATCATTGGCCGGCTAACCGGGTGTTTTGTTCCGGCTTCTAAAAGTCGTGTTTTTTGACTGGCGGACATTATGATAATGTAGATTTATCACTGTTTATATCAGTAAACGTCTACATGTCTAAACGTAGACGGGTAAGTGTTGAAATATTTAGTTTATTTGTATGAAGCGAGATTTGGATTTATCTAGTTCTAGTGGTAGTTCAGATTGCATTTATGACAGTTTATTGTGGAAGTTTGTTGACGAAAACTATGAATTTCTGATAAATGATGACTTTCTGGAGCATTGCAAGGTATTCAAATCCCAAAGCTTTGGATTTTTTAGCACGCCGTCCGCGATGAAAAATCGACTACACCAGCTGATTCTTCATTTGAATCTTGCATTGTTTTACTGGAAGATTTAAGTGAGTTGCTTCGTAATCTTCGTCAGCGCGTGGAATTAGAGGGCCATGGAAACTTTCAAAAATACTTAGAGACGGTAGGTCACTCTTTACTTATTATGAATTGTTTTATTAAATTTAAAATTTAAATCTACAGTGCCTAGTAAGAGGGATATCTACTAAGTACAATTCGCAAAATTATTAGATTACATTCGATTCTTTTCGGTATTAAGCTAGTGTGTGCGATGAACTTATTTGCAAATAGTTAACTAGTATAGTAGGTGGATGAAACATGACGTTTCTTTGTCACTATATTTGTCTTTTAGACCGTTCGTGCTTTGTGTTTGTCTGGGTTACGTAATGAATGTAATAGTTTACGTTTTACAACTGCGTTAGTTGTGACGTCAAACTTCGGGGTCACTGGTTGTTTCATAAGTTGCGCTCTCTGGTCTATGTGTAAGCATTAAAAAACAGGTTCAAGTCGTAAGCTGGTTTTAATGTCCTACAGAATCTGAGTTCACTTCACTTGAAACTGTTAGATGCTAGAAAATGGTAGGATTACAGTATGTTAAAATTGTGAAGGTCCGTTCTTGCTGTATCTACAATTTATAACTTTAAACTTTCTTCATGCCCACCAGTCTATACTGCTGTTTATTTTGGACATTATGAACCTTGCTTCTGAATAAAAGTGCTGCGCTGTCACAAAAAATTAGTACCTTGTATCTTTAGGTATTTGATCACGGAATGTGAGCTGGCTACTGTCCAATGTTATTGAGTATCAAGTTATTGAGGTGGTTTCAAGTTGATACAATTACATAACAAAGGTTATTTTTAATTTATGATCCGTTTTAGAACCAGTGGTTTTCACTAACTGAACTATTTTATAACACGTTCTTCTAACTATCAACAGTCATTCAGTTAGCCATACTCAACTTATATCCAGGCATATGAGTACATTGATTCAAGTTATCATACACAATTAGCACTGTGAGATGAAATTATCAAGATGAATATCAGAGTATTAGAGGTAATAACAGTATTAGTGCTAATAGGAAAGATTGGTCTTTAAAGATACGATTTAAAAACACAAAACCAGTGAAATAGGAAAAAACTAATCCGGGGGAAAACAAAGAGTGAATGCGCCTGAGCCATTACAAACTATTTGAGTTATGTCATTCAAAATCTCTAACCGCCGGGTACACTAATCACGCCGACGCCAGCCAAGTATTCTAAATCTGTTAACATAACTCAGTGGTCAATGAACTCATTGATTGGGTTCGTGTGATTGTCGTAATTAGTGATTCAAAACTTCGAATGACACACCTTATAGGTTTTAATTTCTGAGTTCGCACTATTATGCTCAGTTAATTACTCTACCATATTTTAAATTTCAACAAATAGCATTCTTTGTAATGATGTCGTTCCTTTATCTCTATAAAAATGATCCCTTTATATAAATGGAAACATCGGATAACCGGTAATTTCTTTGAAAATTCGTAATGAAAACTCATACAGCAAGTTAAGCTTGTAACCGGTTGGTTATAATCTGATGAAATTATGTGATTAGCCATTGGCAACTATTCTGTACCTTTGTTAGCCACTTCGTATGTAAATTTGAAGATTTCAACCTGTTTTGTCTAAAGTTTGAAAACTCAGTACTTTGGAAATATTGTAAATTAAACGTGAGAATATCATTTTCAAACAGAGATTGTTAGTTTTTCTGCTATACCAACGTTAGGTTTATGCGTGCTTGAAATCTCACTAAGACACTTTCTTTTTTATAGACTCTTACAAATGAAATTCAGCACTATGAAAGAAGGAAACATGGTATCATTAACTCAATACTGTCCACATTAGACAAATCCCACAGCCCATTGCCATCTTCAGAATTACGTAACTTTCCCATAGCTTCTGATTTAATCTCTAATGAACTTGACAAGAAGTCTAGTAATCTTTTACGCATACTGGGTGAACTTCAACAGGAGTGGGATGAAACCATTCGTAAGATCACACCAATCAGTCCATTCACTAACCAAATCAGCTTTTTAGAAGGTAAGTACTGACCACCTATTTTTGATTATTCATTTGCGCAATACTAAGAAATTTTATTTTGTGATCTTTTTATGACTTAACCATTTTCACTAACGTTTCGGACTGATTTGCTTACAGATGAATATGCTGTTCATTCATCAACTGATTATTTTTCAGATTCTACTCACTTCTTTCGCGGAATAGATTTTATCAGTTTCCATCGATTGTTATGTTATTTTTCAAAGCTGTCCGTTTTTGAAAGTAATAATTTGACTTTTTCAGTTGGCGGTAATCACTTTTTTTATATACGGAATTTATCCCTACCTAGGCTACATAAAATTTCGGCAAAGTTATTCTCGATTTTGCTTGAGTACTGATTTTATCTTGCGAACTTACAACATATGAACGACATTGTAATATATTTTCTTTGGTTTATACCAAAATCTTTATAAATTTGATTTACCACTTCAAGCTCTCTTGATGGCATTCACCATAACATTTCGATTTATACAATTATATTCTCTCAGTTTATGTTATTTCATCCACAAAATCCAATAATTATTCGTTGGTAAGGGTTGTTTTCTACACACTCCTTTTTTCGTGATTTTTAACTTCACTTAACTGCACTTCTGTTTCTCATACTCTGCACAGTGTCTATTGGTTTATATATCAAAGAGAATAATGTTTACTGAACTTGTCAATTATTTGTTTGCTATGAAAGTTGACCTTAATGCTATTATTGTTGATATTTTTGTCACTATTATTATTATCATCTGAATACTAAAGAGACCACATTTAAGAGGTCATACCTATCCTAGCCTGAATGCTTTCCACAATAAGGCGATTTAAATAAACAGGAATGTTACTAATGTTTATATTTATTATCATTGTTGCGATGACTTGAAAGGTTTTAGGTCTTTTAAATGAAGTTACTGTAAAAATGACAATGATGATGATAGGTACTTACCATTAACTCTAACCAAACCTACAGTTCAGTACTTTGGTTTTATCTAATCGATTTTTTCTTGCTTAACGACTGAAAAACGGTTTTGGAAGAAATCCAAATAGTATTACTATTTGAGAAGTTTTAACTTAGAAAGTTGCTGAATCGAATTATGCTGTTAAAAGGTTAAATTTATTGAGGTAGGGTTTCATTAAATGATTATCACACATAAATTGTATCATGAATTAGAATCTTTATGAATTTTTGCGTTCATAGGAAAGGCGGAACTATTCTTATTCTTAAGATTGCGTGCTTCAAGATCAAACTATCAAGCTTGTTTAATTCAATTCTTCTAAAAACTTCAACTATTATTTATTTTACTAATTGTGGTTTCGTTATTACCTCGTAAGAAGAACTACCGGAATTAAATGTTCAATAGTAGTTTTCAATATGATCTGAAAACACTTGTAGAGTCACTGAAAACTATAATCACTGGACGGTTGTCTCGTCCTAGCAAGCAAGTGCCTCAAAAGTACTCACCTAAGATGTCAAAAAAGATTAAACCTGAAATATTTAAGTCTTGCAGCGAGCATGATAACTTTAGATCATCTTAGTTGGAATTCAACGATTCACATTTCACACTTCAGCAGATTCTCTGACGTGATATAATGATAAAAATTACTTTCAAGGAATACAGAATTTCTACAAAACCATCTTAATTAGTAAATCTTTAATTTAAAGCATATAATTTTGTCAATGAAGTGTTTTACCTTTAAAAATTTAAATAGAATACATCACCATTGTTCACATTATTATAAGGTTTGCCGATCAGACAAGAAGAAAAATTGTGTTCATTTTTGGAGTAGAATAATGAGAATGTCAAACTATATTTTGCATCACCAAATTTTAAGGTCACTCGAAACGAACATTTCATAAGAGGAAAGGTCACGTAAACTCCTTTTTTCCTTTTGTTAACCAACGTTCAGTTTTTTATTGATCAATCTTTCCTTTGATTTTATAGGTAAGCTAAATGGAAACCTTTTATGTAAATCTATTCTCACAAGAGAATATTTGTATTCTAATCAAATCACGTATTTTGCTTACCTACTAGACTGACTTACTCTTATAGCTTCAGCTGGTAATCCTTGTATTTCTGATCATTTGAACATTGATTCTTTTACTTAGCACACAGTAGTAGTAGGACCAAGTTAGTTCTGACTGTCTTTGAGTTTTCAGGAATGATTTACTTATCCGTAGTACACTTGTCGAAAAAGCGAATACATGCAACTTATTCTTGTATGTTGAAGGCTGAATATCTCGATTAGGAATTTGATCACGCCTTTATAACATTTTGTTCATGCCAGAGGTACAGAGCTGATATAAATCGGTAAATGAATTAAAAATGGGTAGTGTAGAAATTAGGGGATTTTAGCTGTTATGACTAACGTGGCTACGATATATGCTGTCCATTTGCACTCGCTTCTCACTCCAGAGTCTAACGACTACTGGAATAGTATTTAAGTAAAAAGTGGTCGGCTATTTAAACTCATTCACTGTGTCCACTTCTTAAGTTACAAAGTTTAGTTCTTGATTTGTGTCTGAATTAGGGTATATGATTCGTGGTTATGTAATAAATCTTGTTAATTAATCACAACAATTTTCGGAATATTGATTTTCTTAAGAAAGTGAACAAAAGATTACTTTTTCTGTATGCATACATTTATATTATTCTAAGGGGCTATCAAGATAAGTGATTAGCATAGTAGAATAGGAACATGTCAGTGTAGAGATTTGAGAAAACATAATGATACAGATTGGGAAGAGTGTATGAGGAGTCAAAAATAGTTAAAACTTTAAAAAAATTAAAATCCGATAACTGATTTTCCACACTTACCATAGTACTTGTAATTAAGAGATTGCATGATTGGAAACACTGGCCCGGAAGGTTTACTTCTATATTTCTAGATCTTTCTGACATAACTTTCTACTTCTACTCATTGCAAATGTTTCATGTGTGATAGTTTTCAAGTCACGAACTGATCTTAGTTAGACCACCATTGAAAGTCTGGAAGCACTGGACAGCCGCTTCGTCCTGAAATGAGACTCTTCATTAGTGCGCATTCACGACCCCGCATCCAGGAATGGGAATCAGAACAATCTATATGGATCACGGACATTTAACGCCTAGAACACTGAGCTGAAATTCAACAGTACTAATATATAACTTGGGACGGTTGTCTGATTTTGTTTTTGTGACGTTTCTATTATTTCCTGATAACTTTCGAAGTGAAACGGATTGACCAATTTCTGTTTCTTGTTGTACACAATTGTTCAGTAGTAATTATCACATTAGAAATAAACGAGTAACTTTCAATGGTTTTTTTGTCAATCTAATATACTTCATTAGTTTTGTAGAAAAATTAGTCTATCTACTTTGAGAAAATATAATCAATTCAATTGTAATCAGTTAACCACTTGAAACTGCAAACAAATTATTAGTGGTAGTGACCATGATTCAAATCTGTAGTGCACATAATTGTTTTTTTATTATTCAAGATTAGATGTTTATTCTTGTAAACTAACATCATTGTTTATATTGTCGTGCAACACTTTAGTTGTTATGAATTTTATCACCACAATTATCATCTATTATTTTTACTTAGTTTCTTCGGTAAAATAAACGTGTGAAAACATGAATATTTAATGAATTAATTTCTTTATTTTATTTTTTTCTTTTTGAAGCAGAGTATGTTTTGTCTAAAATGGATTTTTCAAATTTTTACATTTAGGAAAGTAACATCAATTTTTGATAAATTTATAGAAGTGGTAGGCATTATTACCAAGGTTTGACTTGATAATTTCAAATTAATTGAGCATTTTGTAAATTGTTATAAATAAAACTAGTGTATTTGTAATATCCCAATGAGTAGAAAAACTAAATTTTCTAACGTTTCATGACTCAGTGTAAGTCACTTCTTAAGAGAAGTTGTCTTAGTGATTCAGTATGTTTATGAAGTGTTTTACGGTTGGGGTTATCTGCAACATTTCCAACATTGACTAAGCGTGTCGTAACCAGCACTTGCTGTCATTTCCTCCCGCTCATTTAGTGAGTGAATAATTCACAAAAGATTTCCTTTCGAGCGGCTGGAGTTACTTGGATATGTATATTATGGAAACATTGAATGTAGCATAGCCAGACACGTCAGACGAAAAACACGGTGAAAGGGATGACCTGAAATAGAATATTTTAGGAAAACTACACTCTGATATTCACTGCTTACTCAACTAATGGACGAGAAAGTGATGGAAAGTTCTGCGTATTAAACGCTGAGTGAACACCGAGAATGTTGCAGTTAACCATAGATATATTTATTTGTGTACATTTCTTAAAGATACTTTATTTAATTTTTAATAAAATCTGTACTGTTGTTTCAGAGTATAGCGATTTTTTAGAGATCCTAATGTGTACTTATAGTTCCTCTTTTGATGTTAGTGATAATGCATGCTGTCTGTGAGCTATTCGTATAATGATGAGTAATATTGTGATACCCTGATTATCGACCCTAGTTTGGTTTTCTCTGCTATACTGTATGGTGTAGTAATCAATCCGGTGTACGACGTGCAACTTAAAAAATGTCAACACAGTGATTTTGTATTCCGATTTTACTTCAAGTTAATTTTACATTCAAACATCATGGTAAGAGCTTCTAAAGCTAAATGTTTGCAAAATTATCAAGGAAAAAATTAATTAAATCTGAGTTACGTGCTTGCCGACACATACCATTATAAAGTTGGAGGAAATAAAATTGCTTGAGAGGTTCAAAGGTTTTTTTTAAATTTAGATCACCGTTGAATTGTTCAGCCCTAATAGTTGATGAGACATGAATTCAGTGGTGGAATTTAACTGCCTTGCGAATGCAAATGAATTTTACCTTTTACTTGAAATATTTTGTATTAATCAAAATATCATGGGGATACGAAGAGTGAATTCCCCGTTTCTCACATTATTATCCAAACCATTTTCATAAAGTTAAAGCGATTTTTGTGGTTTAAGTCATAAGTATATTTATAGGGTGTT